AGAGATATGCTCCGACGGGAAAATGCGAGACCCACTCCACGCATCGAAAGGAGAGCCATGGAGCAACTAGACACGTTCTCCACGCCTCCGAGGGAAGATAGTGCATGGGTGAGAGGACAGCGGGAACTATCAATGACAGACGCAACAGAGACTGATCATCCCTGGCATGCGTATGTCTACTGGGAGTATTGCAGCGAAGATGACTGCAAGCTCCACTGGAAAAAGAAACACCAGAATCAGTTGTTTCCCCGATCCTCGCCCAGGATACACTTCAGAGACGCAGAGCAAGTTCATGCCCTCAGGCGAAGCCAGTCTGAAGGGGACTTGCCTATCAAAAGCGAACAGGTATACGAGAAATACCCACATCTGCTAGACGAAGCAGAAGAGCGAGGGAAACGATCTCCCCAAGGACCACCATTGGAAGCGGATGAATACTATCCTTCCTCGGACGAGTCAAAAAACTAGGAGTCCTCGACGGTAGGCCACCGGCGAGCGACACGAAGAGGCCTAGTACAGACCAGCTATGCGCCACGACGGGCAGCATGCAACTATATGTGGTCGCTAAGATACAACAGCGACACCTCCGAGCAATGATTGACTCAGGAGCGACGGGCAACTTTATGACAAAGAAAGTAGCAGACACGCAAGGTTTCAAGACGCAATTGAAAACCGAACCATACCCGTTAATGGTCGTAGATGGAGAGCCCATCTCGACTAATGAAGGAATGGTGACCCACGAAACGGTCCCATTGGAAATGGTCATGCTACACGGGCACAAGGAAACGATTCAGTTTGACATCGTGCACATGGACAACCATGCGTGCATCCTTGGTATGCCATGGCTCAAGAAACACAACCCCCAGATCGACTGGTGGAACGAGAAAGTTGTGATGAGCCAGTGCGCGTGTGAACAACGGACGGACACGCGACAACGGGAGAAACCCTCCCAGGGCCGGAAGGAGTTATGTGCAACCTCCGAGCTCGATGACCTAGCCCAGGCATCCTCACCGACGAGTATACCGGTGGAGTACAAGGAATACAAGCAATTATTCCAGGAAGGCCCTAAGAATGAGGCGCTTCCTAAGCACCAACCATGGGATCACGAGATACCTTTGGAGAAAGACAAGAGTCCACCGTTCGGACCAATATATCAGCTATCGGAAAAGGAGCTGAAGGTACTTAAGGAGTACATCGATGATAACCTAGCGAAAGGATTCATCAGACCATCCACATCACCAGCAGGAAGTCCGGTGCTTTTCGTACCAAAGAAAGATGGCTCCCTACGGTTATGTGTGGACTATCGAGCGTTGAACAACATCACAATCAAGGACAGGTATGCCCTGCCGTTAATCAACGAACTACACGATAGATTTCAAGGAGCAAAGATCTTCAGTAAGCTAGATCTGCGAGGAGCATACAACCTGATCCGAATCAAGGCTGGGGAAGAGTGGAAAAGAGCATTCCGCACCCGCTATGGCCTATTCGAGTATCAAGTCATGCCCTTTGGGCTAACAAACGCACCCGCATCTATGCAACGACTGATGAATGATGCTTTGCACGAATACTTAGACATCTTTACCATTGTCTACCTAGACGATGTCCTGGTGTATTCAGCAACCAAGGAGGAGCATGTCAAGCATGTCAAACTCGTCCTGAAGAAACTAAAGGAGTACAGCTTACTCCTCAAACCAGAGAAGTGCGAGTTCCATAAAAACCAAGTCGAATTCTTGGGTTACATTATTGGAACGCACGGCATCAAGATGGACCAAGCAAAAGTAACGGCAGTGTTGGAATGGCCAACACCGACCATGGTCAAGGAAGTGCAAGCCTTCCTAGGCTTCGCCAACTTCTACCGAAGATTCATCTCGGGATATTCCAAGGTAGCTCAACCACTCACGGAGCTTACCAGAAAGGATCTCGAATTCAAATGGATGGACAAGGCAGAGGCTGCTTTCCAGGAACTTAAGACGAAGTTCACGGAAGCACCTATCCTTGCTACATTTGACCCTGCAAAGAAGATCATCCTCGAAACGGACTCTTCTGACTTCGCAATTGGAGCATGTCTGAATCAACCAGACGAGAACGGTAAGTTCAAACCAATCGCGTACTACTCTAGGAAACTGTCACCCGCGGAACTCAATTACGACATCCACGACAAGGAGCTACTGGCTATTGTCGTTGCCTTTGAGCAGTGGCGAGTATATCTTGAGGGACCCACCTACCCTGTGCAGGTATGGACGGATCACAAGAACCTCATATACTTCACCACGACCAAGGTTTTAAACCGCAGACAAGTCCGCTGGGCAGAAACCCTCGCAGCCTACAACTTCACGATAACCTATCGCAAGGGCTCCGAGAATGCAAGAGCAGACGCTCTCAGCAGACGGACCGACTACGCCGGCCCAAAGGAAGAAAGACCTAGAGCAATTCTGAAGAAAACAGATGCAGGAATACAGTACAACGAGTTACTAGCGACGATCTCAGTCATCGAAGATACAGAACTCGAGGAAAGACTCAAGAAAGCTTACGCAACAGACGAATGCGCCAAGCGAGTCTTGTCCAAAGTCGAAGGCGACTTCACCATCGACGAACAAGGATTGATTCGATACAAAGGGTTAGTGTATGTCCCAAGTCAAATGAGACGCCCGCTGGTGCAAGAACAACACTCGTTACCAGCACACGGTCATCAGGGAGTAACACGAACCTTCGAACGAATCACTCGACACTACTACTTCCCAGGTATGAGGAAGCAGGTAGAGACAGTGGTAAGAGAGTGCGACATTTGCAGCAAGTCAAAATCCAATAGGCACCTGCCATACGGACAACTCAAGTCGACACCAGTACCAAAAGGAGCGTGGAAATCAATAGCTTTGGACTTCATCGTCAAGCTTCCACCCTCCAAGGACCCGTTAACAGGAATAGAATACGACTCTATCCTCGTCATCACGGAAAGACTCACGAAATATGGGAAGTTTATACCATATCTAGAAGCTAGCGACGCCGAGGCGCTCGCATATACCTTCATTCGAGTCATATTAGCCGATCATGGGATGCCAGAAGAAATCATCTCAGATAGAGACAAGCTCTTTACTTCGAAATTCTGGAAATCATTGATGGCGCTACTGGGAACAAATCATAAGCTGTCAACAGCTTTTCATCCCCAGACAGACGGCCAAACAGAAAGATTAAATCAGACCCTTGAACAGTACCTGCAAAGCTATGTCAATCATCAACAGGATAACTGGGTTCAGATCTTACCCATCGCACAGTTTGCATATAACAGCGCGATGACAGAAGCAACGAAAGTCTCACCGTTCTTTGCCAATTATGGCTACCAGCCAGAAGCATATAGGCAACCAAGACCGGATGAATCACGAGCTGAACAAGCCCTGATCGTGGTGGAACAACTGAGATCGTTCCACGAACAACTTGCGACGGACATCCAATTCTTAAATGAACGATCCGCCGCATACGCAAACAAGAAGCGCAGTATGGAACCTGCCTTCAAGGAGGGGGATAAAGTATACCTACTCCGGAAACATATCAAAACGAAACGACCAAGCACAAAGTTGGACTTCAAGAAATTGGGACCATTCAAAATATTGAACAAAGTCAGCTCAGTTAATTACAGACTGCAGCTACCCAGGAAGTCTAGACTACACCCGGTATTTCATGTCTCACTACTGGAACCAGCAAGAGGAAATACCCCAGTTGCGACCGACACCGAACTCCAACCCGAGAATGAGATAATCGAATATGAGGTCGAAGCGATCCTAGACAGAAGGTTAGTAGGACGTCGAGAAGAGTTTTTGATAAAATGGGAAAATTACGAACCTACGGATAATTCGTGGGAACCAACAAGGAACATCAGCAAAGAACTGCTGGAGGAATATCGACGCCGCCATCCGCCAGCCATTGATCCCAAGATGCAGGGGAGTAGGCCAGTGGATCGGAGGAAGCGGAGGTCCCGGTCACAGACGAGGAGGCAGCGCTAACTGCCTGTTCCTCGACCTCAACAGCATCACGCTTCTCAGCAGCCACACGTTCGGCCTCCTCTGCCGCATCAAGCTCGTCGAGGGTTTTCAAACCTCGCCGGAGCATATCTTTACCACGGGTTCGGATGAGGCGTTTCTGCTTCCGCAGACGAAGTAACTTCGAAAGAGTTTCTTCCTCTTCGCGATCCAGGCGATCCTCCTCCCGTTCGAGCTTCACCCAGTCGGGATGCTCAGGACCCATACAGTCACACTTTTCTTTCAAGTTGCGACGAACGCACTCGGCGCACCGCCGCGAATCATTTGGAGACGACACGCAAGTAATGTTTCGCCTCACGCAGTTCGAGCAAGAATCCATTTCGGGTAGTTCGTATCCGTGGTTCTTTATTCGACGGACAAGATCGTTGCGTTCCTGGAGTTTGCGGGCAGTGTCAGTAGGCATGTTGCATGTTGAAGGACTCGCTGAGGAGCAGCAGAGTCCCGGGGACATGGACGTACTTATAGGATTCGAGACGAATGCCCAGGGGAAGGGAGCGAGTGTTACGACGGAACAAGAAGGCTGGCCAACTACAGGACAGGAAGGAGGGAGGTCGCATGAGTCCGGCCCTGGTACCTGGAGGGGCAGCGGGGAATAGTAGTTCCGAAAGTATCACGTGACGGACTCGCAGGATGATGAGAAGAGTCCTAAGAGTCCAGGACTCCGAGGACTCGAGTGAGTTCCCAGGAGTCCACTAGGCACGTGACAGACTCGCAGGATGATGAGAAGAGTCCTAAGAGTCCAGGACTCCGAGGACTCGAGTGAGTTCCCAAGAGTCCACTAGGCACGACGCCACTATATAAGTAGATAGTATTTCCTTAGATAGGAGCTTCGTGCTCAACTCAATACAGTATTTGTTATATACTAGTAACGTGTTACTTGAAGCCTTTGTGTCTGATCCCCTGCCTCCTCTGATAAGTAAACCTTTACGCAAGAGAATCTCTGTGTCTTCTATCGTTTAGAAGTCAGCGTTACACCGATATCTTTTGTGTCACACCTGAGGTGTTTATGACAAACTGGACAAATCCCGAGCATGGCTCGGAAGTGTTGTTAGCTGTCTTAATGCCAAGCATCTCCTGCTGGACGACTTCCAGGCCTAGTTGGCGACAGGTTGCCTCAGACATGATGTTGATCGAGGCTCCACCGTCTACCATACAGAGTGGCAGATCGTACTTTTGCCATCCACGGGCAACATCCTGTGGTGGTTCATCCTCCGAATGGTGTGCGGTTGACATCAATTGTCTTCGGGACGGGTGGACATATTGGCTATCAGGTGTGGCTGCATTTGCTGAAGGTCCTTGGGTTGAGGCGTTTCTCTGGTCGAGGTCCTTTTGACGGTTTGACTCGCGCTGTTCCCATGTAGCTTGAGGTAAGTTGCAATCTCGAAGGAAATGCCCGTACTTCCCACAATTATAGCACATTACTCTCTGAAGGGTATTTTGTGCCGTTTGGTCTTGCTTGTTTGCGTACGTGGTCGCATTAAAGCCTTGACGAGGAGGTCCTTGGGCCGCGGACGAGGTTGTGACATAATTCGCTGGTTCTCAGCCAGTACCGATTGCTGTGCCCGTAACTCGTTCATCCCTTTGATAAGTGTGTCAAGTTTGTCTTCGTCGGAATTCAAACCCGTAGCACCTGCGCCAATGGTTTGCCAAGTAATTTCCTTCTTGGTCCCTTTTGTTACTGACGGGGTTGCGTCCTTTAGATCCAAAGTGCTTGTGATAAAGTTGACTATAAATGGCAGGTCGACAGTAAGGTCCGGGTTGGATTTCTTCTCGGCATTGATCCCGCTTCGAACAGCGAATCTGAGGGGGTCATGGCTAAGGCCCTCAATGAGTTGATCCCCGAGATATTCCTGCTTTTCCCAGTCTGTCAGGTGTGCCGAAAGGGTTTGAGCTCGACTAAGGTAGTCTTGAACCTTCTCTCCTTTGTCTTGTGACATTGTCATCGCTTTCTGTCTTGCGTCCTTTTCGACAATCTTTCTTGGGATTGGCGGGAAACGACTTCGGAGATCTTGACAGAATTTGTCGAAAGATATTTCGGGTATCCTGTTTAATAAGTCTGAGCCAAATGTTGCCGCCGCTCCTTTGAGGGCACCTTGTAACATCATAACCCGCGCAAACATCTTGTCTGTGGCTGTGGTGTCTGGTCCCCATCGTTTGCCAAGGCTTTCTGCTGCAATTCGCGCAGCCATAATTGAGACTTCGATGTTCTCCGTTGGCTCTCCTGAGAACGCCGGGACTTTCATTGCGTTTGCCATGTTTGATTCCTCGTCACTATCGTCGTCCGATTCTTCAGAGAGGGATTCGTACGGTGGCTCTAGTTGCTCTTCTGATGAGTGTACTGAGTCGAGTCCTCCTCCAACGTGGGAAAGATCTTCTGGCCTTGCGATTTCGATTTCTTCCGGTGATAAAGGGCTTTGCTGTGATGTTTGATCTTGCGAGGGGAATCTATGTGGTGGCGGGGTGTGTAGCGGTTCGTCAACAATGTCCTCTTCACGTGGTGCTGGTCCTGCCTCAGAGTCTGCTCCTGTCTCTTGGGGCGTGGACTGCGCGTCCTTCTGTTCTTCTGGAGAAGACACTTTGGGTGGTTGGCGGTTGACACCGTCTTATCCTTCTGTTTTGGATAGCGGAAAGTGATGACGTAGTTGAGTGGTGGGGATCGACTGTTCCTTCCCGTTTGGTTTCAGCAATAGGGCGCTCCTTCTGCCTTCTGGGTTGGGGTCGCGGCCTCCAACTTGCAGTTGCTGTCCAGTGCGTTGTCTCTTCGTGCCTTCCTCTGCCCCTTGTTTACTCCGACTGGGAGTCTTGGGCCAAGGTCGTCAAGTTCGGATTGACTGATAGGTTTTCGACTTCGATGTCAGCCGGTGGCTCTTCTCTCCTCGTGAGAGTATAATGTAATCTCTTCTCTTGCTTCTGCAAGACACAGCGCTCCTGACCTTCGGAGGTCCTTCGTCTGTTGCTCTCGAGGCTGACGGTGCTTGATCTTCCGGAGATCTCTGGTGTAACGATGTTCACGGGTCGTTCAGAAGCCGTTATGGTAAGAATAGTTGCTCTTAGTAAAAGGTTGGATTCATCCCGGATTAGGCCCCCAAGTGTAGCCTACGGAGCAACATGGAATAATGTGTAACGGTGATAACGATGACGATCGTATTACTATTCTTGATGATGCTCTGAAGAAGAGACAATCGGCTATCCGATGTTCCATCTATACTACGCTATGTCACGTGTTGGTTCACATCTCCCTCATGGAGCTGATCACCATCTGTTATCTTATCTAATCTAATCTAATCTTATCGCACCGATTAGATTTTTCGATCTTGGCATTTTCGATAGAACCGGCAACGTCATCCTCCAACGCCGCACAAAACTGGTCTTCCCCATCCAACTTCAGCATTCTATACCTTCTTATTTGGTGATCTAGAGTTCCCATGACTCCGCGACTATATAACTCAGCAACTTTGCCACTGATCGTGCGGATTGGCTTCGGCCGCGCCGTGCCTGTGTAACCTCGAGGCTACACTCCCAGGTCCCGAAAGAGGTGACTGGGGCGGATTTGGCAGGGCCCTGAAGCATCATAACGCGTACAGATCGTGTCACCGCACCCAGAACTTCGTGTCATATAAACACACAAACTCACAAATTCCCGCTCTCACTCGGCGATGAGTCGCAAACCCATCGTGGCGGGCCTCAATCGTCGCCAGTCCTCGACCCCACACTACCAGACTTTCCCCACAGCCCCTCCACGAACTCGCGGGAATGCGCTCTCGTCTCCCTTCGACTCCTCCCATGACCAAGATAGAGTATCCAATGCCGACGACGACCAGCATAACAACCACAATCATGAGTCGCCGCTTCCGCGCCGCCAGCTCGCCGTTCTCGCTATCATCGCCCTGGCCGAGCAAACTGCGCTGAACTCCATCTCCCCCTACCTCCCACAGATGGTGCCTCTTTCCCCTCAACAGACACATCACGAATCGGTCTATATGTCGGCGCATCGCCTCGTCGTTTGCTGCCGGCGCAACTCCTCACGAATTACTTCTGGGGCTCACTCTCCGACCGCATCGGGCGCAAACCAGTTATCTCCTCGTTGCCATCCTCACGGCTGCGGCATTCGTAGGGTTCGGGTTCTGCACAAAGCTATGGCATGCGATCCTTGTGCAAGCTATAATGGGAATTGTAAACGGGAATCAGGGACTCATCAGTACGTGTCTGGGCGAGATCACGGGACCGCTCAAATCAAGGCCGCGCTTTCGTCTGGCTGCCCGTCATCTACGGTGTAGGCGCCATCTCAGGGCCGGCACTAGGCGGATTGTTAGTGCAAGGAGAGTCCAGTGCGAAGAAACCATCCTACCCGTTCTACTCCCGAATCTGGTTGCGGCTGTCATACTGGTGGTGGAATTACAGTTACCCTGATATTCCTCGAAGAGAGCCTCGAGGAGGCCAAAGACCTCCCACGCTACAAGACAGAGTCAGAGCCTTCTTCTCATGGATGTGGCAGTTCGCCTCCGGTGCCATCCGCCCAACCTACACCCGACGCGGTCCCCTCCACCACCACGGCCACCGCCGAGTCCACTCCCATAGCTCTACCATCTCGAGCACAAGCAGCACCTCCCCTCCTCCTCCCTCCTCCATGACATCTTCGCTGGCCCATATACCTCCATCCCCATCAAAGACCCCTCAGCGGCACCACCCTCCTCCTCCTATCCACCTACTTCGTCTTCCAGCTCTCCAACGCATCCTTCAACGCCCTCTACCCCTCTTCGCCTTCGCCGACCCCCCACTCGGCCGCAATATCCCCGCCCGAGATATTGGTTTCTCTCTCTCCGCCGCCGGTGTCGCTACAATTATGTTCCAGGTCCTCATCTTCGGCCGCCTACGCGACAAGATGGGGAACAAAGCGACATACCGCGCGGGCCTGGGCTTATTCGCCGTTGCCCTCCTCGCAACCCCGACCGTACCATTCGCAGACTCTAAGCCGCCATTCAAGTTCCTCACAGGACACATGTGGATGTGGGCACACCTCTCCCTCGTACTCCTCGCCAAGACAGTAGCATCCGTAGGCGGCCTCTCCAGCGCCCTCCTGCTCATCACCAATTCAGCCCCTGAACCAGAGTGTCTAGGCGCTCTGAACGGGTTGGCGCAAACGCTTAGCTCTGCGGGGCGGGGGGTAGGCCCCGTGATGGCAGGCGGATTATTCAGCGCTGCACCGAAGAATGGGAGGAGTGGTGGTTGGATCCCATTTGGGGTGTTTGGGGGGTGTCGCGGTGCTAGGGTTCGTGGCAAGTTGGGGGATTCGGGCGAGGAGTTGGAGGGAGAGGAGTGGGATGAGGGTGAACATGATGAGGAAGAGGTGTTATAGTGTGGTATATTGGACGATGGGTGCGGAGGTATTCGCGACGACGGACGTGCATGGATTCTGGGTGCAAGGCCATTGATTTTTTGGCAACTTGGACACAGCCACAGCCACAGCCAGTCCGAGCGAAATGAACCGTTAATGGTGGACTACGAAAGTCATTCTACCACCATACACCGACCTATCAGCAAATTAACACCCCCATTCCCCACAAAGCAGTGGCTGCAAGATTACCGCAACTATACCAGGTTCCTCGGTTGCTTCTTGAATGAGGCATAGATTAGTACCCTTTCACTGCGCAGTGCAGGGAGGCCGATTTGTCAGCCCAAGTCCAAGTGCAGAGCCGCCCTCCACGCAGGCAAGCGACTTAAGGCAAGAGAAACTAGAACCATGGACGACGTCGCGTTCCATCTCACTGAGCTAAAAGTTTTAAGGACCAGAAATGTGAAGCTACTGCTGGGAGCAAAGAAAGCAAGTGGCTCAACCGTACATTGCTAAATTTTAGAGCGAATCAATTATGATATAAATATTCAGCTTAGCTTTGAGCAAGGGCGATGAGTATATTATTATGGGTATATAGCTTAGAATATGAAAAACATACATATATACCTCACGAAGGATTCGCTAGGAGGTGAACCCTTTGGCCATTGATAAAAAGGTAACTGCTAATAACATGCTTCTGCGTTGGCTCTCGGAACGCAAAGCCGATCAACAACCTCTCCTCGACCTTGTACGCGACCTTTCTTAAAGTGCACAAGTCCGACACGTACGAACACTTCCTCGGGTGCCCGTGTCGGAGCAGAATGGAGACATGGGAGCGGCACAGATAGATGGTTGAATTAATTCAAATGTTCTCCATTGAGACATCGATTAGCCATACATTTACTATAATTACACGTGTAGAGGGACGCCGCCACTCTATTTCTCCATCCTCTCTACTCCCTCTCCATCCTCTCCCTTCTCTCTGCCTCCTCCTCCTCCTCGGCCTCCACCTGAATGATAGCTGCAATAGCCGCTTCGTGTTGGCGGCGGCTAGCGATGCGCCCCTTTCTGCTCTGTATGAGCAGTCGTACAGTGGGGAGTGGACGGGCGAGGGCGCGAGCGCAAGGGCGAGACGACGCGGGGTTCAGGCGCAGGAGAGGCGACGCGGACTTGGTTATGGTTGGCAGACGAGACA